CCGCCGCCACCGCGATCGATAGTGGCGGCGAATCGAGGGAGGACGCCATCGCGAGAACGACGCTACGACCTGAGGATGACGACGCCAACGCAGACTAGCTCGATCGAAATTCAGAAAATGACACAAGGATTCAATTCGAGCGATTTTAATCCTTCGTCGATCGCGATGTTCGAGAGAAGAGAATCAGCCATTCGTGCACTTAGAGATAATGCATGAGGTAAAGTATAAGGAAAATTATATTTCTCGAATATCGAATGGATAATCGAATCAAGTTTTAATTTTCTATAGAGGTACTTTAAATTATTGATAGTTATTACAGGATTGATTATTGTGTTGATATCTTTGAAAAATCCTCTATAACCAACACAATTTTTCGGATCAAGAATTTTTGGATCAAAAGTAAATAATTTTTACTTTTATCTTTTACTTAAGAAAAAGAGAATTTTTATATTTACATCCCTCGCTTATAAAAAATAAAATAAAATTTGAGAGATTTTTCTTTCAAATATATATTGTCTAGTAACATTTTATATTAATCAGATTTATTATAAATTTGACAAAAAGAGATAAGAAAATTAATTAATTTTCCTAATTACATAAATTTCAAAAATAAATTTTATCTTTAAAGAGATTAATTTAACTCTGTAGTTGGTACTACTCTCTGAGTTATATAAAAAAACATTTAGTTAAAACAAAGTACAGCTATATACCTCTCAGATGCATGTGCGACCGATGGAGGGTCAAGCGTAATGTGCAAAGAGAAGCTGAATTATACGTTCGCAAATCGTAGAGCCATTTCTGGGCATGCATACGCGTAAGATACATCGTACCGTTTCACAGGTCGACGTGATTCCTCCTCCTCGTCCTCCTCCCTCCGCACACACATACACACACACACACAGTGAAGGTTCCTATTTTTCCGCTGGCGGAAAGGTCAGCGCCGCCGTATCAAACGCAATATATATATAGTATATGAAATTACTGTTCCTATCAGTCCCCTACTTTAACGCCAGTCACGCGAGTAATATTATCTTAAAACACGCCAGATTGATTACACACGCCAGAAATTAATTCGCCAACGCGCTGATTAGCAAGGTTCTCGCCGAGTAAAAGTAATCGAACGTCATACACGTGATTACTCACGAAGATGAATCACGATGATTTACGGATCTTTGAAGTTGCTTGAAACGTTAACCTTGTTTGTTATATATATTTTTTTAAAAAAGGTTGTTTACTTTAATAAATATAACTTGTTATCATATTACTTTTTATTAATTGAAAAGAGAAAAAAATGTATCATATATATATATGTGTGCTTTTATTGTACTGATAAATTTATAAATGTGTTAAACCCACTTATTAAAAAACCTTTAATTATAACATAGATTGATATGTGTACATAAGTACAAAATAGCTATTATTTTAAGAGAACACTTTTAAAATATAAACTTTCTATTAGAAGATTACAAATTTATTAATAATAATAATTAACACATTTAAATATGTATGTATGGTTAATCTAATTTTGTAATAATTTATTAACTAAGCTATTGCATATATATCGATTTTATGACGTTAAAATCTGACGGTTAGTATTTATTGTTTACTTATAATATAATATAACTGTAAACAAATGATAAACAAATATATAATATCCTTAATTAAAAGTATGACATAAATTTTGGAAAATCCCTAAATATATTAAATATTTTAAGAATCGTTAATATATTTATAGAGCAAGATTACCTTTTTTAAGACAAAATAAATCAAACACATGATGAAAAATCAACGAGAAAAAAAATTTCTCTCTAATAATTTATTTCATATATCTTAGTGTGGCTACATGCCCAAAATCCCTTTTCTATTAATATCCTTAAGGGGATCCTGGATTGATTAAACAATATCTAATAGAAGTAATATCATTAAATGGAAATAATAAGTATATAATATTGGATTAGAAAAAAGCTAAAATATTTGTGAATGAATCCTACACTAAATTGTAACATTGTTCAAATTTATATTTAAAAAAAATGTAAGTAATTTAGAAATTTGTGACATGAGAAAAATATTGAGTGTGGGTGAGAGAATGAATTTATGAGGATGAAGAAAAGGGGGAATATGGCTTTTTTGTTCCTTTACTCAAGAGTTTAGTCGACATAAACGTCGCCGTTTTTTATTACTGAGCGGCAATTCAATAACGATGACATTTACTTTGCGCGCATGCAATGTACATGCGCTTATTAGGATATATATTATGCCACCCGCGCGCACGTTACGTAACCGGTAATATATTCCGTTATATAAACGTTCCATTGCAAGCCGCCGCCGCCGCCGCCGCCGCCGCCGCCGCCGCTGCCATCGCCGTCGCACCGTCGTTGCCACGTCCGCTACGTTCCACTGTTGGGAACGACGTTGACGACAACGACGACGACGATATCCTCGGACACGCTGGTAAGCTACTCTGCTGGTATTCATGTAGCTCTCTCTTTCTCCTTCTCTCTCTTTCTCTACAGAATAGTCCGCGCGTGAATCGGTGTGACATACCGCGCGGCTCCAATTCGGTATGTGTGACGCGCAGTGCTATGGTGTGTACTCCTATAGCGGAGCTCCGTAAAGCCCCGCTCCGTAACGGTAGTAGGGGGATTATGATAGTCGGAATATAAAAGGCATGGTCTCCCACCTGAGAGAGGGCACGCTCGCGACCTCGAGCCTCAGACGTCACTTTTGGATCTTTACGAAGTGATAAGGCGCTTTTCGAGTGCGTGTGCTAGTCAATTGGACGCGCGGTGTTTCCTTTTTTTTTTTTTTTTTTCGTGGTAAGAAAATACACGAAAGATATAGTGCGGGTACACGTTATATATGTACCTCCTCCTCCATAGTTATCGCGAGTGATAATTTACCTATCGTGTTGCAATGATATAACGTAACACGACTGATGTACGAATGGAGAAGAATGGTATGTTCGACTGAAATATTTCGTTCTTTTCTGAACGATAGAAATATGTATTACTTAAAACGTATTTGCCGGCGCGTGACAACGTAAACAAACTATTTTTATTCCGTGAAATGCACGTGAAAGTAAAAATATGCTATAGACGGATTAAGGTATTCGATGTCGGAGATATATTTATCGTATTTTGTTTCGCCCGATGTTCGCTTGTTAACTCGACACAAAAAACAGTTGAATTTTAAAGCAGCTAATCAAAGCGTCACGTGTTTAGTGTTATGTATTCTGCGCACGCGCTTTCTTATTAAATGCTGCGAATAAGAATATATTAATGCACTACATGTATTAAAAAAATATGTTAATACGTTGCAATATCGCACACATACAATATTTAAAAAAAAAAAAAAAACTTTTAAAAATATGCTTTTAAAAAAATGCTGCGAATAAGAATATATTAATGCACTACATGTATTAAAAAAATATGTTAATACGTTGCAATATCGCACACATACAATATCTAAAAAAAAAAAAAAACTTTTAAAAATAAACCCTTTTTATCTATTAAAAAAAAAAACTCTTTTTATCTTTTACAATTAAATTTATTTTTGTTATCTTTTACAAAATTATTAACGAATCCATATTATATATTCCATTTTATTGTGCATATTTTTAGTCTTAATATATCTTCTAATATATTAAATATTACATGTTATAAATTTTATGTGCAGTCAGATTCGCGACTTCCTTACAAAAATAAACCGCTTTCATCGGATAAATTCGGAATACCGCTCTCATTCATAATTATGATAATATTAAAAGTCATTCGATATAAATGATAGATAATTGTCAGAAATTACATCATGTTGGAGACATATTACTTTGCATTTAAGAAACGTTTTGTGAAATGGCAAAAATTAATCTTAATTAATAAATATTCTTAATCTTAATTAATTAATACTCTTAATTAATTAATTAATATAATTAAGTAATACTAAAAATTACGATGTATATTATACACTGTTCTCATAACGATATTACAACATCAATTTAACATTTTTTTTTTTTTTTTATTCAAGTCGGAATTTGCTAAACCAAAAACTTCTCGGTCAGCTGTTCTTGCCATTTTTGACCGACTTTCGGTGAAAGAGAGGAATGCGCGTTATTCGAACGAATCGTTTTTTTTTTTCGGCATTTCGCGATAGACAACACACGAGTCTCGGGATCGATCCGAATTCGTCTGACCTCGCGAGTTTGTTTATCCGAGGCGAGCGATGACACGTGACTCGATTTCCGACGAGTCACGGCACGCAAGGAACGTTTTCTGGACTTGGCGAGTTGGCGCCCGTATATACCCTCTCTTTCTCTCTCGCTCTCTCACGGGAATAGCGGGGCGGGAAGGGTGGGGAGAGGAGGAGACGAAGAACGCCGTATCCCCTCTCCTCGCACGTTCGGCCTTGACGGATCATTCACAGGCCAGAATCGCTTTCGCACGGATTCGTACACGTCTGTGCAACGTTATACACCATGGACACAGGTGGTGGTCGACTTTCCTTTTCACACAAGTTCGTTAACCTCTCTCGTCCATTATGCCACCACACTGGATTCGGCACAGTGTTTCGTTATTCCATGGAAGCTTTTCCAAAAATTCGATATAGTTACGAACAATACCTACCGAACCATATCTTTTTGCGGACTTGCATAAGAGGCATAAGCACAGAAGTCAAGTGTCACATTTAACGGCGGTATTGATACCGAAATAGAAAGAAAACATATAGAATATTTAGAGTGTCAAGATCGAAAGTCGATTTCTAACATCCTTTTTAAATAATCATAAAGCCGAGAGTATGACAATATACTTTAGAATTGACAGCTGGATAATTTGATTCAATTATATGTACTTGGAAAATTTTTCTTCGTTTATAATCATAGAGTTGATACGAATTATATATTATTGTGTTTACACCATTTAATCATGTAATATTTATGAAATATGATATATGATATATGGTCATGTAATATAATTATTTAATGATGATATGCAAGTGACTAAAAATAAGATTTTTACATTTTTATAGTTTCTATATTTCTTTATAAGAATGCGATTATATTCTGATAATACGTCTTTACGATAATATTTTTATTTTTTATAGAATCTTGAAAAATACTAAAAACGACATCTATATTTATTAATCATTATCTTACTAATTCTGTTAATTAATCGATCGCTCGTGACACGTTACACCGAGAAAAAAAAAATGTCGATTGTGTGATTACTGCTTCTCGTTTTATCGCTTTTACGTTTCTCCTTTGTACGTTACGGCCTTTGGCTATTCTTGTCGCCGATGTCGAGTAGGCGCATGAGAAAGAAAAAGAGAGAGAAAGAGAAAGAGACGAAGATCGCACGAAGAAGAAAAACACGACGACACACGGACTTATACTCGTACCTGTACAGAGTTGTCCGGGCGCGTGTTACCGGCACGAAAGTATCGCGCCGGCTCTTGCGGAGAGAGAGAAAGAGAGAAAGAGAAAGAGAGAGAGAGAGAGAGAAACCATCCCCTTTAAGAGATAGACCTTAAAGTCTCGGCCACGCCGGCACGAATTTCCCCCGGGATCTCCCCGCGGGAGACAGACACACTCGTCCTCGTCCGCGTACGTACGCACATCGGCATTGCGCACCGATGCGCGTGGAAATCGTGCGTGCCTGCGTGCATCGGTCTCGAGCGCGAACGAGCGTCGCGCCGGCGCGTCGCTGCAACGGATTGTCGTACCGCGATCCGCGTGCGCTGTGTGCACGCGTTTGCGCGGATGCACGAACGACAGTTCGCACTACTGATTACGCGTCTTATCGTAGTCACCGTCGAGATGCGCGCATCGTGAGAGTGTCGCACGACGTATTTACAGATGAACTCTGTGTTGGAATATCCAACAATATATTGTGTGACATTTGTTTCTGGTTTTAAAGTTTCTGTTTTGATATTTCCAGTCTTCAAGTTTTGTAAGTTGTTTCTTATTTAATTTTTAATTTTTATATAGATTATATATATATAATTTTTTTTATTCTCTATTTTTATTGAAAGATTGAAGAAATTATGTAGTGATTTGTTTACAGAAAGGTCTCTTGCAAAACTTGACTTATGAAGTTATAAAAAATTTTAAGTGTAAAGTGAAAATTAGAATAAGAACATGTAAGAATGTAATAAAATGCAGTATTTTAGTCCAATATTATATCCAAAAGATTGTCATTTATTGTTATTTATTGTTTTGAGAAAACGAGACAAAATTTTTATACGCGCTCTATTTATTTTGTTTAAAAGATATAAAATAATCATATATATACATATATTTGTTTCTGTTATTCGTCGGAAGTAGATCAACTTGTTTACACATAAAAAATTTACACGTCAATATTATATTACATCAAGCAACATGATATTTTCGTTGTTAAATGAAATTGAAGGTTAAAGAATAATTATCGAGCACATGTTAATATTCTATATATGCCAGCTGTATCGTTCGTGATGGATGATTAACAATCAATTGGCACATCTGTTTCAGCACCGATTATCAATATGGAGGCAAAGAAAAAGGAGAAGCCACTAGTCAAAGACTTGAATGAACATATCGTGTGTCCTCTGTGCGGAGGATATCTCATAGACGCTACAACTCTTGTGGAATGCCTGCACTCCTGTTAGTATTTTGTACACACAGCATGGCTATTATTTCTTCTCATTAACCGTAGAGAGTGTTATAAGAAGCACAGTATGTGACAAAATATTCGTTCGTTGACATAATTTGTGTACTTTTAAGATACCGAAAGAATTTTTTTTTCTCTTTGTCTCCTTTTTCTCTCTCCCGCCCTTCTCCCTCTTCTTTTCTCTCACCTTTTCTTTTTCTTCTCTCTCTCGAGATCATTATTTTTGATAGATCGATGTGCTTTCTTCAATAAAATACCATATTTTGTAGCTTACAGCTGACACTTTATACATACATATATATATACATAAATACACATTTATGTATATATATATGTATATATAAAGATAAATTTATTCATAAAACATTTTTTCTGTATACAAACCTTAAAATTATACGAATTATGTCCTTTTATATTACCTTTCCTGAAGTAGATGATTTATTTCACAATTTATTATCGCGTAAAATATTTATATAAAACAAATTATTAAAAAAAATATCACTCGAATCGATCCTATCTATTTCGGAATACAATTCCGTCTCCTTCACGTCGCGAATGCGTATCGTCAGTTTGCAGAGGTTGCATCGTTCGACGTCTGAGTAGCGGCGCCCGCGCGTGTCCCGTGTGCAACGTCGCGGCTTCCCCGCCGCTTCTGCCCGACACGCGGCTCCAACGGCTCGTGTATCTCGCGGTGCCCGGTCTCTCCCGATCGGAGCTCGAGCGCAGACGTCACTTCCGTCTGGTGAATCCTCAATGCCCGCCCCTGGCATCGCCCGTGGGCGCCCTCGATCTCACCGTGGAGGACTTGGTTAGTCTGAGCCTACGAGAGGTGACGGACGCGGAGAACGAGACGAAGGAGGATACTTGCGACTCGTCGAAGAACGACGAAGTATCGGGAATATCGACGCGGTATCTCAAGTGCCCGGCCGCCGTGACGGTGCGTCATCTGGTAAGGCTGCTGATGCTGAAGAGAGGATGGGAAGAGGCTAACGCCAGCGTCAACGGCGTCAATAACAGGATAGAGATTATGTACCAGCATCCCGATGACGAGAATATGCGCCCGCTCGATCCGTCTTGGACGCTCCTGGATCTCGCTTGCATATTTCGATGGGAGAGGGTGAGTTTAACGATTCAGTTTGATATACGGTGGGCGATCGATCCGTTTTATAGATTCTAATTGCGGACTAAATCTGTATTAACCTTTAAATATTGATACCTACGTGCTACCAGACAAAAAAAAAATAATTATCTGCGTATGATAAATCGAACCCCGAAAATAAACGCATGACCCACGTTCAGTTTCTTTGCTTTTGTAAATCTTGAAAAGGCGGCATTCTCTACTGCAACTCTCCAAAGATCATTCAACCGCATTTTTAGATTTGATTTCAAATTTTGTATTAATTTATCTGAATTTGAAGACTCGTACCGGCTCGAATATATTTGTTTATCGTTAAATCTTTCAAAGAATTTTTCTAAAACTTAAAAAAAATCTATTTTTATTTATTTATTCTTTCCACAAATCGCAGTTTTGCATTTTTTAACAATATCTTTCATTCTATTAAAAGAGGATAATCGTCCTCATAATTTTAATAGGTTTTAAAGAAAAAAAAATGTATTTGTCAGAAATCTCTTAAAAGCAGAACTGACTTTAAGCCGACCGAATATAAATCCTTATGCTCTAAGGCTTTAGGGGACCTATTTAAAAATATATTTCCACAAAAGAATTTCTTATTCTTTAAAAAGAAAAAATTATTATATTTTTTTAATTAGCAAAGGTTTTGTGGAAAATTTTTTCTGATAACTTAGTTTTTGTAAAATTGTCTTTTTTATTCTTAAATAGATGGACAATTTGATGCATCAAAGAAAAATATAATAATAAGACTTTTGGGGATATTCTTACAGTTTTTCAATACTACTTTATTAACAATTTTAAAAAAGTATTATTAAAGTATTATTAAGTATTATTAAAGTATTATTGCTTTAATCTAATCTTGTATTTATTTTTGTACATTTTCTATTTATGTTTTATATTTATTTAATATTTTTAATATTCATTATTTTTGGCTGAAAAACTTTCTTTCATGGAGATAAATATAGTGAAATCTAAATCTAATAATATAAATAATAGATAATAATAATAATAGAAATATTTAATATCACAAATAATAGAAATTTTTAACAAATAATTCTTCTGAGAAGTTAGGCTTGCAATTGTGTGAATACTTTGGGTGCCATTGAACATAAGATTTTATGGTATTTTTTTCTCTTTATAATCATTCACTTTCCCTTAGAGAACTGCTTTTACAATGAAGGCCATTCATCTAATTATCTTAAGTCTAGAAACTCCCCATGCGAGTCCTTTGTTTGCTAAAAGCAAGCCTGACTGGCCGGCGGTGCCAAAAAGGCTTTATGAATGGCGGCGCGATGGCTCGTCTGTTGCAGGAAGCACCGATGAGGCTGTTCTACCGGGTGTTACGAAAAGAGGAGATGGTTAAAAGTTCGACGTTAAAGGTTCCCTCGTCGTGCAAAGACGATGCGACGAAAGACGGCCCGGCGGCGATCGAGAACATGCAACGTCCGCCAACCCCTCCACCTAGTCCCAAGCTCAGTCGCGAACCGGAAGCGGAACCTCGCGCCGCAGAACCCCCCCGCGTTCTCGAAACGAATGTCGATGTCCGCGACAAGGAGACAAAAACGAAGAAGCCGCGCTGCGAGGTGACGCCCGTCATGCGTGCCCCGGATCCCCCAACCGGCGGACTTGCACCGAGCAATCATCATCAGTCAGCGGAAAGCGCGAAGAGCAAGGATCTGACGAGGCTGGAGCACCGGAAGCGACGCAAGCGACGAAACAAGAGGGTGATCGCGGAAATCACCACCACGCCGCGAGAGGATCTGCTAAAGCTCAAGGTCCGCCTGACACCTTGTCCTCCGAGGATCACCTCTGGCACGGCAACAGGTGGCGGAGCCGGGAGTGTCGGCGCAGGTAATCAAACGAAAGAGAAGTTGCTGCAAATGCGGGCGGTTAGACGCGAGAAGATCAAAGCGATCGGTCAGCAACGATCGAAGGCGAGCTCGCTGGCGCGGGAGGAAGTCGGACCCAAAGAGTGCGCCGCTATAGAAACGGAGGAAACGATCGAGGACATCATAGACAGCATTCCCGACGAAGTCGTCCGTATCGCACAGAATATCAGCAATCAGAACGAGGACGTCGCGGCGGATAGGATGACTGGCAAAAAAGAAGCGGAACCGTCGAATAATACATCGGAGAATAATGGCGAGCCGGAAAAACCGAAGAAGGACGAGGAGATTCTTCGGCGACTAGGCTTGGTCGCTATCAACGAGGCCGGTGGCAACAAGACGGCGAAGCAACGCGCGCAGAGCGGCGCCGACAAGACGGACAGTATGGACCGCGAAAAATTGGAGAAGCAGTTGCGCGAGAGCAAGGCAAACCGCGTGCGGAGTCTGCTGGCGGAGAAGCAGATGCGCGACGCGCTCAAGAGCATCATGTCCAAGACGAAGGAGGAACGGGCGTCGTCCGTTGTCAGCACGCCGACATCCGCTCCCATCCCCGTTTCCATATCCGCGCCGAAGAAGAAGGAACCGCCGCCGTTGGCGCCTCTGCGCGTCGCCAAACCGTCCGGTTTTGCCGCGACCAGCGGCGTGCTGGTGGTATCGAACACCACGTCCAAGTACGAGACGCCATTGGACCTCAGTAGCGGCGGCACCACTGTCAACGATAACGTCCTCGACCTGTCGGCTACGTTGCCCGGTAGCGGACAGCCGGCTACCTTTTCATCTTCCTCGTCTCCCTCTTCCTCCTCGTCCTCTTCCTCTTCCTCGTCCTCTTCCTCGTCCTCCTCACCCTCTTCCTCAATGCCGTCGTTATCGTCGTCGTTGCCGTCGTCGAGACCACCTGGGCGACCCGCCATCAGCGGCGCCAGCAGCTTTTTCCGCAAATCCAAGGAACTGGATCAGCAGCGTGGCCGGGGACAGCAAGAGTTGAATCTGAGGACCCTCTCGGACGTCGCGGTATCCCGCCTGAGTGGTTGTCTGACCGAGAAGAACCCGGAGCCGCTCGCGTTAGCTTCCGGGAACCTTCACGCCACCCCCAGCAAGGTCGCCCTGCGGATACCGCAGCTGCATCAGCGCATCCCCGGCTTCAACATGAAGATCAAACCCAATCTCGGCGTCCGGCATATCCCGAATCCCCAAGCGGTCGTGGCCTCCCAGTATCGTAACCAGAGGGCCAGTTACTTCAACGCGGTCTCCCAACAGCCGCCGTTGTAAATCTATGTCTCTTAATCGTCGTAATCTATCCCTTCTCTCTTCCGCCTCCTTCGTCTTCTCCCTGTTTCTTTTTTCTTTCTCCCATCTCCATCGTTAAATTCCGATGTCAGGAGATGAAGGATGGAAGTTCTAGACCAAAATCCAAAGGCTATATGTTACTATTATTTTATCCTCGTTTTTTTCCGACGACTCGCTCGCTCATGACACGTAATCAGATTGATTTGGAAAGACGATTTCATCGCAGTGATACACCGATATGACTTCCCATTCGTGAAATTGCTCGTTGAAATAAAAGATACTACGAGTATCTGATACGTAAGAAATTGCACGACAGTCGGGATATTGATGCTCGTAAGTATTATCTTTATCGGGGCAAGCACCCTTTTAATATATATGTCTAACGAACTATCTAATCCCCCCTATCTAATGCTGAGGTCTTAGCTTGAAAACAGGTGTTCGCAGATACAAGATATTCCCGATAAACTTTAGGTACATAATTTTTGTGGAATTTAAAGACAAATTTCTTCTATATAAAAAAAAGCACATGTGCTCAAGTATAAATAGTTTTTAAATTATAAGTGATTGAAAATGGACCAACTTTTCGCGAGCTAAGCTTCGCGGACGCGAATAGATAATAAAACCTCATTCTTTGACAATTAAGGTAAACCTCATTCCTTAATTAATTACAAGTGAATTTCTTGCTTTCATGAAATTTTAAACTCGGATCTTGAGATCGCTCGGATGTTAAAAATTATCCAATATCGAGAAAAGTCATTCAAGCATATTTTTATTAACGAAAAATCGAAATGTCTTGAAATTTTTCGAAAAATTCATGGATAAAGATGATTGCGGAACAATTGGCCCGCACTGGTTTTAAATCGTGTGTTCCTAAATATATATAAATATCGAAACTTGAAAGAAACGATTCATAGGAAATATTTATAGCTCTGTGTATTGCGAACATGTTAATATTCGATATTCTAGTTGAAATTTTTCCGAGATTCTATTGCTATCTCGACGAAAATCAAAGAGGTGAGAATATTATAGACAAAGTTTTATCTTAAAACACAATCGTCTTATACTCTGGTATCCACATTAGGAGTGAGTATAGAAGAACCTTTGTAAGTATATACATATGTAGGAAGCGCACAATCGTCTGTACTTTCGATCTGATTACGCCGTTGTTCTTTGAGGGGAGGAGAAAATAAATCACATCGATTATTTGTCCGATTATTGTTACCTTGATGTATCAAAACTGTACGACACTGTAATAATGTATGTCTGATCTGCGTCGCGGTCTATACTCTTACTATGGTTACCAACGGATCGATCTGACAAACGAAAACTTTCGCGAGGAAAATCCGTAACGTCGCTGTATACGATATTCAGGGACGAATTAGTCAGCATATATAAAATGACAGATAATTTTATATATATGTATAAAATTATCCGTTGTTCCCCTGCGATAGGACCATGCAAGTACTCCGAATTTGCGAGAAGCAAGCAAAGAGCTGGAGTCTGATTCGCGCGAGTAGTCCAAGAGATTTTTGTGTGTATAGTAAGTTTAATATTTATATTATTTTATCTATTTTATCAAATAGATAAAACAATATATCTATTTTATTAATATTATTTTATTAATATTTTATTAATTTATCTATTTTATCAAATAGATAAAATTCCCCCGAGGCGATCGTCATCAATGAGCCGAGCATGTCTCGAATTTTCGTTATACACACATATTTTAATTAAAATACCTTATATCTTATATTCAAATATCTTCATCTTACCAGAAGAGGATTACATTTCAGTTGATTAAAAAAGTTCCTTGCGATTTTATCTATTATTACATATATTTATAATTGTTGAATTATTTTAGTTGCCTGTTTGTTGATTTAATTGTGTGCGTGTAGAATATTTTTGAAATATTTGTTTTTGTTGGAAACACACATTCGAGATAGTTAGAAATAGCTATACAATGATACACGTGTAATCGAATAATCTCGAGTTAATCTTGGGTTTATACAAGATTCCAAAGATGTGTAAGTAAATAACATAACGAAATCCGATCGTATTATACAAAAGGACGGTTACATCCTGTTCGTGTATATTACGTCAATATTATCCTCAGGAGATCTATCCGAGGCGAAAAATGAGAAAATGCGTTTTTCTCGAATGTTCGCACGGGCCTATTTATATATGTCGGGCGATATATTTCTCCTTCTCTTTCTCTCTCTCTCTCTTTCTCTGTTTCTCTCTCTCTCTCTCTCTCTCTTTCTTTCTTTCTTTCTCTCTCTCTTCAGAACCTACAATTAGCGAAATATACCTACATGTAATAATTTGTAGAGATGCCAAAGAGAACGCCAGAGAACGTGTGCAATGTATTAGTGCAATTTAATGACCGTGTAACGTAACGTAATCGTATAATCGATCTATCACTCGGCGAGCTAACACATCGCCGAGTTTATTAAAGGTAGGTAGGTAGGTAGATAATCGTATAGACACACATACGAATTGCGTGATTTGTGATTCCCCGATGGGGGGGGACTCTGTAGCGTTATATATAGACGTAGAGGGAGACAAGATGTTTTTGTAACAGCACATTTTTGTGGAATTTACAAAAAAAAAAAGAAAAAAAATGTCGCAAGAGATTTCTCTAAGCGCACGAGCGTCGCTCAAACTTTAATTTGCGCGACGATGACCAAAAAAAAAATGGTCTTTCGACTGACAAGGGTTTAGGCTTTTTAAATTGACTCTTGACAAGTCGGACCGAAAAGTTGAAAATTTCACACCGCATACACATTTAAAGAAATTAAATCTTTTTTTAGCGAATCTTGTTTAACTCTTTCAAAATTCGAGCGATATGCGTTTTGTATCTTTTCTATTAAGATGATTCATAGTATGCGCGTTCATATATGGTATACAGAAGCGAACTTCTCTTCTGTTCATAATATTTCTTTGGATATTGAGTTAGAAAAATGGATATAGCAAATCTAAGCATTAAAAATAAAAAAAATCTGAGAAATTTATTCGAGTGGATCTATTTGTGAGAAGCTCCTTTATCAAGTTTTTTAAAAACTTCAAAATAAATTTCATATAACGGAATGTCGAGTGTTTTAATAAAAAATAAATGCCAGCATCTGGAATAAATGGTCATATATTACGGAAATAAATCACTGAGTCATGAATTATGTAATACTCTCTGGAATAAGAATTCTCGTAAACTTCAAAAGAGAACGACCAATTGCAAAGTATATAGCATCGGATGGCGAATAGCGTAAATTAATCCACATAATGTAAAATTATGCTTTAACGTTGGGAGATTGATTGAATGAATATCAAAAAATGTCTGGTACGCAAACGATCGTTACATTTTAAGGTGCGAACCGCAGCGAATGATAAAAGACGGAAGAGCATTCGTTAAAACCGTTGCTTCCTTTCACGTGCTTGCGATATAAGATACAGTCGATGTAATCGCTTTGCTAATTCGTGCATTGAAATTCATACGTAGCGAAATCGCACACGCGAGACGGACTATAATTACTTACTAATTGAAAATAAAAATGCGTATTCGATAATAAATTGTTCGAAGTGGTCTTAAATTTCCTTGAACGGTTGCTTCCTTGACGTTCATGTTGTAATTTTTAAGCCCTTTTTATACAAAGATAATGATGATAGATGGTTTACAACAACAAACACATGATATGACATATCTTAATGAATTTATAGATCATAAAGTCGACACTTTTATATTTACGTAGAGTTCTCTGAACCTCTAGAGAGAGATTTGCTTCAATAGTAAAGTATAATATACTGTATAGAGATATGTATATATGTTGCAATTATTTGCACGAAATCTTACAACAGATAATCTCTCTCGTACTTGCATCATTCCCATTGTGCCAAAACGTGTACGTAAATTTAAAAACTTTATGTAATGTGTGCGCTTTTTTGTTTAGTTTTACTAAATTTCGAGGGAAATAATTTTTTTTAATATTAATGAACAAAAATTTATAAAGAAAAAGCGTCACACATACATAAACTGATATATCATTTTGTTTCTTTATTCTCTAGTTAAAAATTTGAAATGAAAATCTATACCTACACAGACATTTATTAGACGCCATACACATATACACATACAGATAGTATTACAAATTTGATAATATTTATACTTTTGAGCAAATAACCTTTTTGTAATGCAAACTAAAATGAGATCTGAAAAGTCTTCAAAATCGAACATATACAATTAAAAATTTTAATATTATATAATTTATTTATTTATAAGCAGAATTGAAAGATTTAAATGTCAAATAACGTAAATCCGAATAGACACTTGGTATTTATTTTTACGAATTTTTCTTCTATGTTTATTGTTATAAATATATTTTTATGTATTTATATATATATATGTATATGTCTCTTTATATTACAGCAGTGATAATAATTACAATAATTACGATAAGTAAATTAATAATGCAAATAAATTTCCTCTTGAAAAAAAACCATTTTTTAATATAAAAGATTAAATATGGTGGAACTATGCAAGACTACGAGTGACATTGCTCTAAAAATATCAACGCACAAATACATACACACATCAACCAAGAAAAATTGGACTTGTTGAAAGAAAAAGCATCGACGAATAAACGGAACAAATACGAAAAGAGCGACGCTTTAACGAGCAGAACAACATGATAAAAGGTGGGAAAGAAAAACGAGAAGAGGACGGTTAATAAATAAGGTCAGGGAAAAGAAAAAAGGAAAATTGAAGACTACCGTTAATAGTGAGAAAGAACAATCTTTGATTTCCCGTAACAAGATCAAGTCAATTAATCGTCGCGTAAATTCGTCGCGACGTGAAAGCGCTTTTGACAATGTAAAAAAGAAAGGAAGAATAAAGTTTCAAAACTGCCATTCTCTTTGCGAACGGGAGTCACAGCCGGTTTTCACTTTCATTCGCGATAGATTCATAGAGGGACCCAGATTTCTCAAAGCTATTTTTCTATCGCGTTTTTTAGTAATCGCGAAAAAACGCGCGTTTGTTATCTCACGAGATTGTCGCGTCGCGATAATAAAAATCTGTCGAAAAATAGAAAATACAAGCCGAGCGATTTTTATCTATGTATTGAAATCACGCCAGTGGTATGGTATACATATAATGTGAGTATAAGTAAAATTTGAAAATTTTTACAAAAGCTAGTTAACACGCAACTTTTTTTTTTTACATACAAAGAGGAACATACAGTTGTTTGCTTTCATTGTCATGTGTCCTTTATTGTCATATGACCGTTTGTTGATAAAGGACAACCAAAAGGAAATCTTTGACATAACTTCTCACAAATCCTGTCAACCGCGAGAAAATGAAAAAGAAAAAAAAATACATTTCGATGTATATTATATTAAGAGAGAATTTTGTGCGATTCTCCTATTCTTCTCATAATCCATCATAATCTCACTCATCAATTACCGCAATAGTCGATTTAATACAAATAGTAACGAATAGCGAATAATAATGATATTCGTAGATACATGCGATATATAATCGCGCTACAATAAGGGATTAATAATGTAAGATTCATCGCTAGCCGCGATACGCGTTGCTCTCTTCCTACTTTCTTTCACAAATGTCAAGAAATCAGTTCGGCAAAAAAATTTCCTATACAAAAATCTAATACGCCATTAAATTATTAATAATGATCTCATATATATACATTATATATGAAGACGTACATGATAGTAAATCGAGAAAGGGCTTCATTTGCGAGAACCAAAAATCTCTGAGAGAACCCCCTCCTTCACTTAATGAGATTCTTACACGGAAAAAAAAAATTAGCTGCCGTAGCTAAAAACTGCGTGTGGTAACTAGATTTCAGTCGTAATATATGGACAGCGAACATCTTAGCTGTGACACCTATTTATTAGGTGCAACAGCGAACATCTTAGCTGTGATACCTATTTATTAGGTACAACAGCATATCGTTTTGCTGCAGTTTAGAAATTTATTTTGCAAACCATAATTAGCTATGGTAGCAAAAAATTTTTTTTCCGTGTTATAATTATCAAACCTATTATTGTGAATCATAAGCGTGTCATATTATATAGTATTCCGGACATGTCCGTTCGAGAGAATTGCCTAGTATTACCTATAGTATAATCATCATAATGATTACGATAGATGCAATGCCAAATGAGGAACAATATGTTTGCGTATTTTCTATTATCTGTACTTGTGGTATGCGACTAGGTGGTCAATGAATATTATAAAAATTTATCTTTGTTCATATCAAGATAGATATTGATTAATTTTAATAGATATTGATATCAACTTTTTAGATATCCATATAAACCGATATCCATCGCCGTTTAAAATCAACATCGTGCACAATTCTTTCCGTATAAATGGCAAGAGATTTCGTATAATTAACCGAACATAAATATTAGAGTAAATACACAAGTATAGTATCCTAAACTAGGTTTCCTAACCGTATGCGTATGTGTATGTACACCAAGAGTGTCGTAGCAATGGCGCGTGAGAGAGAGTTATATACTTGAAACGGCCAAGGACTCCCAAGAAAATTTAGAGAACGGTACTAGCAGCTCCTAAAATCAAAATTGAGGACAAGAGTTGGTGAAAATCGATTTTGCGATGCGTGCAAAAGCGCGTGTATAAATACACTATATAATATTATCGAATATTGTTGATGGTTCGAGTGTTCTAATCGACGAGAGGAATATGTATATTGCGCCACGTGTGTGATCTTCAATGTTAACTAAATTGTCAAATTTAATTTAACGAGAGCGAAAAATTAAATGCCGAATGAATAAATGAATGGCGGCAATCGTTGCGCGTATTTATTAGCATCTACGTCCCATCGTTTTGTTTTGAGTTGGAAGTCATATCGCATTGTAGACATTGTAGGATTATTGCTCGTGAATGAAATATAAAATGTATCTTACATGTGTGAGACTGATTTCAATCACTCATCCTTGCATTGGTAGATAAACGTGAATAATAAATATATATCACTCCCTTCAATCAATTTACGATAAATATAATATTCTGTTGTTGATATAATCTGTTTAAGAAAAATCATTGTATTATTATTTGTTTCGATTTTTTATTTTAAAAAAACTTGCTTGTTCGCTGGCCGAGTAATTTCGTAAGAATAGCTTTATAAAATCTGTATTATATATGAAGTTGCACGAAAATGTAATCTTTCTCGATCTAGCCTTAAATAATGTTTTTTGTCTGAAAATTATGCGTAAGAATTTATTTCGTAGAAATCCGTACGCGTAAAATAATAACGCGTTTCGTGGAAACTTGATCTCGTACCGAGCGTGAAAATGGCGAATACAAGGTTGGGCTTGGAATGCGCAGACGTCACAGATTGCTGAGTGATTTTATCATCATCGTTTAGCGATTGATACTTGATGAACGAATATACGTATCATTAATTAATAAATATATTCTATCGATTCATCTTTGATGATTTTTTTGATAGGATTACGTAGAGATATAAATTTCAACATTCGTCAAATTTTAATTTATCGTGTGCATTTTTCTCTCTTGGGGCTTGAAATACATCAGATATATAACAATTAAAATAATTTACTTATCCATTAATAAAAAAATATCTTTCGCAATGTCCATCTTTAAAAGATTGATCGCCGACATTTTATAATTTCCCAAAAGTTATCGAGATTATTTATGATATGTGAGATGAAAAGTGTAACCCATAACCTTTTCGCTGATACGTGAACGATATGATCGATCGCCGACATTTTACGATCCTCTAAAAAACGTCAATCTACTTTCCCTTTCTATGGCAAAATGATCCGCAATCTCTCTCTGCTGATTACAAATATGTAATCGATACGTGATCATCATCGATCGCACGCCGACACACACATTCTTAGGATAATGTAAAACTCATGGAACACGTTGTAGTAGCAGGTCTCGATCAGGATGGTAGAAAATCAGACAATATCTTTATCCTTCCCTCCTCCATCGGATTGTCGACACAGGTAGCCAGAAGGATGAGTCAATTATACGTTTGAAGTGGAAGACCTGTATTATCGGGGGAGGGGGGAGGGGGGGAGGAAGAGGTACATGTACAAAGTATATACGCCGCGCGATGCCTGTATTTTCGACAACTTACATTAGACGCAAGAGAGTCAGCCTGCGGCCGCGGAGCTCGGTCGCTGATTGGCTGCAGCCTCCCCGGGGAAGTGCGTCGGAAGTGAAGAGGGCTGAGCGCGTTCGGGGCGAGAACAAGGCGCGGTTACACAACGCGGTACAGATCTTAAATTTTTTTTCCTGATAAATCCAAGGTCAGCGACGAGATTTATACGTGCAATCTTTATCGATGTTGATATCGAGAGATTCTAGATTATATTAATATTACTGGTATTAGTGATAATTTGATTTTATTAAATCGATTATAAGATGATTTCAAATATTTTATAATAAATAGACTTATTACACGATATAAAATTTAAAAGTTGAAGTTGAAATAAAGCAAAATCTTTCGGGGAAACTTCAATGATTCGAATATCGAGGGAGCAGGATCTCTCGAATTGATCCTAACTTGAC